GAGCGAGCCCCAGACGTGGCTGCTTTGGGTTCTCCTCCTCTCATTCTAAGGTCGCTCCACAGGCAGCGGGGCTGCCCGCGCCGTTCCCCCTCCCGAGGGGAGCTATCGGGGGGCAGCGACCCCACGATGGCATTTAACAGAGACCTTACAGGGGTGACCCTCTGCACGCTGCGCTTCCATGTAAACAGGGAAGGTTCATTTTACAGGGAGAAGTGCCTGTGGCCATTTTAAGCCACCGCTTGGGTTTTTTATCCTTGCCACTTCCTGCACAGTGCCTGCGTACAACCACCACAGCACACAAAACCAACTTCACGAGAGTAAATCTATTCCCGGAACATGAAGTAAGTACAGTAAGCAAAACCCAGCAACCGATCCCGAAAGGCACGACTTCAACAGACAGCGGTAAATGAATTTTTAAAACGGTTTATTTGTGTCTTAACTATTTCTTGAGAGCCAACCTTCCCCAGCGAGCAGGGGCAGGCCCCCTTGGGTGAGGTGCAGGTGCTGGGGAATGTCCCGTACCTGTAGGACTGCAGGACGTCGATGATGCCGATGTAGAGCAGCAGCCTCTCCCCCTTGGCGTTGCGGGCTGGGATGCCGCCCATCCTAGAGCAGACAGGGCCCGAGCGTCAGACAGGGGGTTCTCACCCCCCTCCGCCTCCCTCCCACAGCCCGGCGCGGGCTGAGGATTATGCAAAACATTTAACAAGCCCCAACACGCGGGAGGCACCTACTGTTCAGCTAACGAAGGGGAAGAGGAGCCAGAGCTAAAGGCTTTTCCAGTGAATCGGCTAAAACCCCTGAGAACTGACCCCCTTTTCCCTCCGTATGACAGTTTTACTGAAGGTGAGGATTAAACCCAACTCGCGCGTGAGAAGAGACCAAGGAACCGCCAAGAGAATCTACTACCACCCGTTCTAAGATGGCAGCTGGGCTCTACGGGCTGTTAAGTCTGATCTAACGAAGCACTCGCTGCGCTTCTTGGAGGTGGATGGAAGCAGCTACTCGAAGCTGCCAAAAACTGGTGGGCAGAGAACTCTCAAACGCCAACTGGAAAGCAAGAAGATCTTCCGTACGTTAAAGGAAGGGAAATCAAAGGTAGAAGCACAAGATCTGATGCCAAGCCCTCTCTGCCCGGCGCAACAGCCATCCCGCGTGGCCTAGTCTGCGTCTAAATTAAGTCTCCGTTAGCCAAGCTCGGGTTTTACCCCTCGCTCCCCGCAGGATGTCACTGGGGAGGGCACATAAACTTACTGGTCATCTGTTTCGATGGTGCCACCTCGCCGGGCCTCTCCCTGGATGGATTCCATGGCCGTGGAGTAAAGGGCCTTCTGGGCAGCGGGGCGCCGCATGTCGGCCTGGGACGTCCCGTCCGCCAGCGCGTGCTCCCGCTGGGCCAGGTCCATGTTGTGAATCGCAACAAGCAAACTGTAATCCATGATTTTAAAGCTCTGCAGGACCTGGGCAGAAAGTCAACAAAAGGCAATTCATTATCGCGAGCCCGGGGAAACTGTCCGAGCTGAGGTTTTCAGAAGCGCACTCAGCGTTTCCACCCAGAGCCCCGAGCGTACCGCGGGGATGGGGTTTAATCCCCGGCTCGTGCACAGTCAGCTCATCTCAGCCACCAAAGGGAGTCAGAGGAAAGCCCTCAGTGGTGTTCCTGGGCAGGACTCAAGCCAAGGGAAAACACCGACTTTTGCACAGCTGCTCAGCTTGAGACCAGGCTCAGCCAAGCATCCCACCCCCTCTCCTCGACCCTGCCCTGCTCCAGAGCTCAGCCTCGGCAGAAGGTGCTTCCTCCAGCTCTGGGGGCCGTGTTGGGTTTAATTTGGATTTAATCTAGAGCTCAGCCTCGGCAGATGCTTCCTCCAGCTCTGGGGGCAGTGTTGGGTTTAATTCAGGTTTAATCTAGAGCTCAGCCTCGGCAGATGCTTCCTCCAGCTCTGGGGGCAGTGTTGGGTTTAATTTGGGTTTAATCTAGAGCTCAGCCTCAGCAGAAGGTGCTTCCTCCAGCTCTGGGGGCAGTGTTGGGTTTAATTCAGGTTAGAAGTACTAAACAAAACCGGGCTCCAGGTCTGTGCCGCCACCAAAAACCTGGGCCAAGAGGCTCCAAGGGCGACAGCTGCCACCTCCCGCGCGTGGGAAGGGCTCAGAGAAGAGGCAGCTCCCCCCCCCGTCCCCTCCCACCTACCAAGCAGTCCCTCTGTAACGTCTTGCAGAGCGCGTTATACATGTCTGAGTCCAAGAAGAGACCGTCGGGGATGTCCTGCATGAAATCCAAGTCCTTGTAGGTGGGGAAAACCTTCTCTCGCTCCTTCTGGGACGCTCGGCGCTTGTAGGTGGAGCCCTTCAGGTCGTATTTCAGGTGCATTTTGACAGAGCGGGGCAGCAGGTTGTTCATCACGACGATGCGAATGTTTTTGCCTCCGGCCTGGACACAGTACAGGCCGTAAAACTTTGGCAGCAGCGTCCTCGGGTTCTGGTTCAAATTCTGAAATGCCAAAGACAAAGAAACACCTTCAAAGCCGTTCTGGATATTCCCACGCCAGTTCCAGGAGTTATTTGCTCCTTCCTGGATTGAAACGGAGCTGGTGGCGGCTCAAAGCCATCGCCAAATCTGCTGAGAGGAGCGGGGGTGAGCACGGGGCGCTGCCTACAGCGAGTGACCTCTGCAGCGCTGAGCGGGTCAGAGAGGGTGTAGGAAGGCGTTTGTGCTCATCCACGCAGAAGCTAAGCTGGGAGGCTTTGAAGATCTCATGCTAAGCCTTTTTAGATTTGGTGCTTAGGTCAAGCTAAACACGTCAGGATAGAGATGATCTAAACTCTCACAGCCGCAGAAGAAACAAGAGACAGAATTCTGAAGAAAAACAACGTGGTTCTGGGATATAATCACAGAAAAAAAAAATATTTGTAGGTTCAGAAGCAGTTGAAGGAGTTCAGGTAGGGACGCCACCAGCATCAGCAGTGCTGAGGCACGTCTACGGGGCCACAACGCCCGAGGGCTGAGTTCCCCTGCGCAGAGGGGCCGGGCGGGACACGACCGCGGGCCGTCAGATCGCGCAGGGCTGGGACCCGGCTCTGCCCCGGGCTGGCAAAGCCTTGTTTGCTATTGCCACTTCCACGAGATCAGCGCGCCTTCCCTGCCAAAGCTGCTGCCGCTTCTGTGTAAACTCAAAATCAAAGAGCTTTTCAACTCTCTTTGCAGACAGAACCCTGGGAAGGGAAAGAGCTTTGCAAGACAAAGCACCAGGGGCCCGACGCCGCGCAGC